TTCTGTTATGCCCAGCTGCATCCAGGCACATCTTTTGCCTCCTCAGCCACACAAAGTATGTTCCTGTGTTTGGGGTCTTCATTTTGGCCTCTTATCATTGTTGCTCATATCTCTATCATCACTGCCAATTTTCCCCATTCATTATTCTTTCCTCATTCTTTCAACTAGGTGACTGAAAAACATCTTAACTCAGTTTGTTATTTCTTATTATTTTTAGTCATCCATTTAATATGTCATTGTACTACTACTCTGTAAGTACATTTGGGGAAAGATGTCTTATGTATTCTGTCAGTTTTATATCCAACACTAATGCTAGCTCATAGTAAGCATGGGATACATTTTTTAAAAAAATATTTATTGCAAAGGTGAGGGTATTACAGACCCATATGAACCTCCAATCCTGATTGGGATTGAGAAGATCAGAGTGAGGGAAAGATGGATGACATGAATGTTTGGGTTTTTCCTCCTGTGTCTATGGGAGTGGGGAAGGGAGAAAATGTGCTGCCCGTTGCTTTTACACTGCTTCAATGTCCAGGAGGGGGGTGATTGTTTAAGACCCAATATAGGGAAGAATGTTCTAAGGGTGTTACTTGGCTGCTCTTGCTCCTTATTTGTTTTTATGAGGCATTTGAAGTCTTCGGTTGGCTTAGGTGAGCTGCCTGTCTTGTCTGTTCTGTTTAATTAAATATGCTCTCCATTATGTGTGAGGGTTAGAAGCTGAGATGGCACAATTCTACAACGTATGCTCCATATGTGAATTTCTCTGAGATCAGAGGTTGAGTGCAGTGGTCCCGTTGAAGAGCCTCATAAAACCCCTCAACTTGTTGAGAAGTCTTTATGTCTTGCTTTCATGTGTGCCAGCCAGTACAAGGTAGGGCTCAATCTGTCCCTGAACCAGTTAACACATATGTCAGTGAATGTGGATGCCTGGTCAGTTCCACCCCCATCCCTGGGTCTCATGTGAACTTCTGGGTGTTGTAGCCTAGTCCAGCCTAGCCTATCCCAGCTTGCCTCCAACCCATTTTTGTGGCTGCTGTGGCCCAATTGGGATGACCCCTATGAATTCCTACTGTGCCTGCACCCCGTACTTTCACATGCCAGTTGGTGTTGTGGCCTAGCCTAGCCTGACTTTCTCCCAGTCCCAGCTTTTCACTGGTGGGAGCTGAGGCCTGGCAATTGTAACCCCAAAGATCCACTACCAGGCCTTCCTCAAGCTGTAGTTCTGTATTCCAGTTGCTACTGCAGCTCAATGCATCAGTGAATGCTACTGCCTAGTAGGAGTGTCCTCCAAAATGCCCTACCAGGCTCATTCCAGCTACAGTTCTTGTATGTGCAGGCAGGTGCTGCAGCCTAGCATGCATTCCCCTTCCCAAGTCCCAACACATGCTGGCAGGTGCTGTGGCCTAGTTGGAGCTATCACCAAGACTCCTACCAAGCCTTGCCCAGACATGGATCTCATGAGCACTGGCAGTTGCTATAACTTAATCTTGCCTGGTTGGTCCCTGGCCATGGTTCTTGTGTACATGGGCTGATGCTTTGGCCTGACTGAAGGAGTCCCTCCATATTCCCCCTTTTGAATCACCCAACTTTACTCCCTTGATTATCTGTGGGTGTAGTGGCCCAGTCCATGGAGGCCCCCAACAATCATTTAATATTTGTCAAACAGTCATTAGTGACCCCCATTCCACTCTATCCCCTTCCCCAGTTCCTAGTAATATACAGCACCATGTACTCATGGCAGTGATAATGGTGGTGGAGTGGTCCCAGCGGGCAAGTGCCCATGGTGGCACAGTGGGTGCTGTGATCCCTTACCCCCAAGATCTTTGAAAAAATAAAATGGACAACAATGCTGTCACACTGGCATATTTGACACAGAGTTCTCATTAACCAGGCCAAGAATTCTTGTCAACTATCGGGTGCTTTTCTCCCAGCAGTGTTACACTTGCCTAGTTACAGAGAAACCTAGGCAGTTGCCTCCAGCTGTGGTGGAATGGATGCTTTTAAATGAGTGTTTAAGTCAGTAGGGAACTTTCCAGATGCTTTCTTAGAGATGATTTTATTCTCAGAATATGGGTAGGTTAGAATGTATTTTTCTTCATCTGTTTAGAATATATTTTAAGCATCACAAAAACCTCACAACTATGAAATAAAATAAAAACTGACCTGCCTTTACTGTCAAGATTGGTAATATTCTGTGGTTTCTCTTTGATACACCATGCAATCCCATGATGGTGGTGATGTAATATTTTATATCTGGCTCATATTCTTAGATTCTGTAAATAGACAATGACAAAAAATATCTCCAATTCACAGATGAGAAGTTACTGTGTAACATGCAAAATAAATATTAAACAACATGTGTCTTCAGAAATGTAAGGAAAGGTATTGGCAGTGTGGGAAACCACAGACTTTGTTTCTTGTTTATTTTTTACATTTCTATTTTATAGTACAAATATTACATTCTCTTTTTTATTGTCGTGTGTACTAAGTTGTTACCTGGCTATCTCTGTTCTGGGTTGACAGAACAAAGCATTCAAATAGCAGACAGCCTTGAAAGTGAGGGTGCTTCTCTTTAGAGCCAGGGGTTATCACTGCCAAGGAAGAGTCAGGGTCCCCGAGCTCATGGTTTCTTTTCATGTAACAGCTCTCTATAGCTCTTGACATCATCATCATTTGCATTGAATACAAACAGTACTGTTTTGCCACTTGTGATATCCTTTGCCTCTTTCTTGAGGGTTTGTATGAATGCATTTATTTATTTATTTATTTAGTTAGTTAGTTAGATAGTTAGTTATCGGTGTTCATGAGACAGTGGCAGGTTAACTTGTTAGCTTGCTCTCTGGGTAACATCTTAGACCCTTGTTGATCCTGACACGTGCATATCTTACCTCTGGTCACGGGTTTTGTTATGTTCCCAACACTGGTTGACTACTAAGCTTTTTCTTTTCACTACATTTTTGGCCAATAATGAAATCTACTTCTTTTGTGAAAATCTGATTTCAGACATAGAATGTGAGAGGACTCTTACTAAGAGATCTCGTACGAGTTATCAGAAAGAAACAGCACTGCCCAATACTGCCTCCTGTTCTTTGAGAACTGTTTCTGACTTCTGAATTTGAGAACTTCAATACACTCATGTTGTTTTAAACCATGAAATTCATTGCAATTTATTACACCAATATTAGGAAACTAATAGAGGAACAGTTTTTTGCATCTAGACAGCTACTTGAAAAGTGTCTTAACTTCACAATTGCAGCAGAATAAAATAAGTTTTGTGTACAGCAATGTTCCTTGTGTTTTTGTAGGGTTAATGATAAATCTCAGACAAAATCACATATGGAAATGAAACCTTTACATAGGACTAATAATTTCATTGTAACTATGTCAACAGGTACTTCTTTTTGTTTAAATACTTGAAATTGGCCCTTGTAAATACTAAATGACACTTAAATATAAATTATTAATTGTGTGAATTTCCTCAAGATTTTTGCCTTATATAAATTCATTAGTTTGTTCACATTCCCATGATTCTTTTTATTTTTTCCTTTTATAAAAAAATTATTTTTCATGATATAGTCCCATAGGCTCAGAGAGTTGCCCTTCTAACCTTCCCCTCCCCCACTGTTTCCTCCATATTATTATAACAGTATCGTCCTTCAGCAGCAGTCACAAGTCCATCATTCTGCTATTTAACTATGTCATGACACTGTAGATATAGACAATGGTGGAAGTTCAGTATCCTATTGTCAAGAACAATAGACATATAGGTAAACACACACACCTATGTATATGTACACACACACCTAGAGGAACTGTGTAATGGAGACTAGCATACTGAAAACTGAAGATAAGTTGCAGTATTCATTTCTACTCCCTATAAACGATGGATCCCAATTAAACTATTAAATATTTTACTCTTAGTATTAAAATTATAAAGGATAAAATTGATAATTAAATGCAAATCATAAATTATTACTTCTAAAGGTACATATTAATTCTACATTAAAAAGTTACCATATTTTAGGGGAAATCTTGGTCATTGGTTTATTGTGATCATAAAAGAGAAATCTCTTCATCCTTGTTCTGTGTGATCTTTCCTGCATCTTATCCTTCGGCCATTACCAGGACAGGACCATGTAGTGCAGATCGGATCTATCATATTTAATATCATTTTAGTAATTGATTTCACAAAATCTGTGATTACTTAGTACTTCCAGGTTAAAGACTTGTTCCCATGACACTCAAGTTATATCCGCGATGTAGAAGTCTTACTGGCCTAAATGAGATAGCTCATTTGGGAACAGCAAACTAGAAGGACTTTGCATTTTTGGCTCTGTTTTGTGCTTTAGGAAATCAGTCCCTTTGCTGAGTCTTTAATGGGTTGATTCTCCAGGTCATGATATTAGAATACTCTTGTGTTGTTTAAATGAATTATGAATAGATCATTAATTATATTTTTACATATCCTTGGAAGGAATAATGCAATTTTAATGGTTAAGCAATTTAATCAGAAAATGTGGTTTAATTAATAAAGTGAATATGAAACTCAAGTGAACTTAATTTCTGTGAAAATAATTTTATCCATAAGTAAAATAATTATATTAATATCTTGGGAGGGTCCATGCTTAGCCTAATGATTAAGTAAGTAGTTGGGGGTATCTGCATCCCACATCAGATAACCTAGATTTGACTCCCAATTTCTTTACAAACCTAACTTCTGAATGATGGACACCCTGGGAAGAAAAGGATCCTTGCCACACATGTGGGAGACCTGGCTAGAGTTTTTGCCTCTTGGTTTTGGCTGGTCCATCACTGGCTGATGCATTTGGAGAATAAATTAGTGAGTTTTAATTCTCTTTGTGTACTTTCTTGGCCTAACAAATCAGTAAAATTAGGTTGAAAAAAGGATTCATGTCTTAAAATTAGGGGTTTAAAGTTTTTCTTTTGCTCATTTGAAATTGGGTAACGTTTGAGTCCATTTAATCCCTATATGTTTGCAGCTGACAGCACTCAATTTGGGGAACAACCTTTTAGAAGAAGTTCCAGAAGAGATGAAATACCTTACATCCTTAAAGAAGCTCCATTTATTTGGAAATAGAATTGGTAGATTTGCATCCGGAGCATGTGGTAAGTTAGTCACAGAAGACCAACATTGTAGTATTATGCCTCATATTTAATAATATGAGCCCTCACTTAAAAAGAATACTACATGTTTCAATCTTGTGTTGGGAATATTTACCCACTAGTCTTGAAACTAAGAGAAGTTGAAGCCAATGCCTTTTTCCAGTTGCTTATCATATACTTATATCCATGAAGGTGGAAGACAATAGGTAAATGCTATTGTCAATGAATTTTTTCTTCTTAAGAGTCTGACGTGTGAGACTCTTGTCTCTGTAGGCACTGTTTTGTAGTCAAAAAGCCAGAGAGAAAACTTTTTACAAAGTCAGAGCCTGTAAAGCTCTTCATGACTCTTTCTTGCTCTTCTGGTTTTTATTTTCTTAGATCTTGTCACAGTTTTTGATGAAGATACTAAGATCAGATGCTATTTGGTATGTAGATAGCAAGAAATACTATTTTCACTGAGTTATATTATCTATACCCCAAGATACTCATCTTCCTCTCTCAATGATCTGTGTGACGAGTTCAAATCACATGATATTCATGTCCCTGCTTTCCAGAAAAACTATAAATATGTGTATAGTATCTTTACATATGAAGTGACTATGGCAAGATATTTTAAAATAGTTAAATCTTGAAACAAATTTTTAAAATGCTTCCTAGGGGTGCAAATACAAAAATTGGATAAATAGCAAATGAAAAACAACAAAAATTCATTGGGAAAAAGGAGAATTTTAAAGAAATGCCAATGAATGGCATTTGTTTCTTTGTGTTTCCTTTAAAACATTTCTTCATTTAGTATGACGTTCTTACATAATGCAGTGAGCTTACATTGTTTTCATAGTTTTGTCAACTGATGTGAGATACTACATCCTATATATTTACTTGAGAAATAGAATAACAGAGAAAGAGAAGCAAGGATGTGCAGAAACAGTTAAAGAGGCAGATCTTCCAATGCTGCTTCACCCCCCAAATGGCCACAATAACCAGGACTGGACCAGGCTGAATCCAGGAGACTAGAACTCTGTCTGGAGCTCCATTTGGTTTCAGAACTGAAATGCTTCCTCTCATGTGCTACCTCCTAGGGTGTGCAATAGCAGGAAGCCAGATCAATGCACAAGAGCCAAGGTTTAGACTGGCACTCGGGTACGGGATGTGGGAGTCCTAAGCAGTGACCCCCGATCCACTGCATCACAACACTCTCCCACAGTGCTGCTGAGTGTTTTCAAACTCCATACTTCTTGATATTTGGTTGTTTTACTTTGAGAGTCCCATGTGACTAACATAATTTCTATTTTTTGATGTCTGTAAATTGAATGCTGTCCAGTATGGGTCTGGATACCTTGTTGTATGATATAGCCCTGTTCCTTTGACCATGGTTAGATATACATCTCAGACTGAGCCAGTTCCGAGTTTGCCTTCTTGGCATTGTGAGAGCCTAAAGCTGTTTCGCTGTTTGAGATCATCGGATGCCGTGATACTGGGGTTGCCAAATGGTGGCCCATGGGTTGAATCTGCTTCACAAATTGGTTCTGTGTTGTCAATATTTTTTAAACTTTGGATTAGATGCCAAAATTTTCTAGCAGGGAAATCCATTTAAAGGTCAGGGACTCTGTTTTGTTGTTGTTGTTGTTGTTCTTTTATCTGTTTCATAAACTTGTAAAAATAAAGCCTTGCTCCAATCAGAGTCCCACATGTCAGCTGGCACGAGTTGGCTGAGTGTTGGTGTCCCTGTTTAACAAAGCATGGGTACCTTTTTTGTGTGTTTGAGTTTGACAACATTGTTTATGCAGTCTATGAGTACTCAAATATGAGCTGTAAGATAGTTATAAAAACAGAAAAATAGAGAAAATCTGCTCAAAAGAGAAAGTATGGAGGGAAGGAGTGAGAATGTGAATATAAATGTGAAGTTGCGAGAAGCTTAAGAAGATCTCTAGAAAGGGTGCTATACCCAAGTTCCAATTCCTTTTAGCTTCTGATCCTGGTTGGTGGTCAGCCTTGTGGTGCCCCTTTTCCTCAGATTTGGAGGTTGGGCTTTGAAACGTCATGACCAATTCCTCTTTTCTGCTTTAGTTAGTTTTAGAGGATGTCTGTTGCCAGCAACCAAAAGAGTTTTGGCCAAGAGAAGAAACCAGTAAGAAAATAAAGGTGTACAGAGACATTACTGAAAAATGGCTTCGAACAGATGCCTGAAAGGCCTATAATTATTTCCTAACAGATGGCTTACAAAATCTCACCCTGCTTAACCTAAACAACAACCGACTGACCTGGCTTCCTGAAGAAATCAGCAGGTAATTTTGTTAAATGTGAGACTTGGTGAGACCACATGCCTGACTCTCCTCTCCCGCTCCACACTGATCCCTGGTTCCCACCCTGGTCATCTGCCTAGCCTCAAGTCTGTGGGTTTGTACATGGCACAGAGGGATACAGAGGACTGAGACAAACCACTAATCTTAAGCAGATGATCCCTTGAAGACTTCAGAGAAAGAAGGCACATCAGGACCTGGTAGGCTAGGCTTGGAGCACGAATGCTAAAGCTGAAGGTATTATTGGTGTCCCAACCCTTAGGGTTCTGGGAGCTTACTTAGCTAGGGAATGAGAGACATTGAGTTTACAGGGGTGCAGGAAACCCTTTTGAGCTCGATAGAAATAGTTACATAAAAGAAAAAAGGTTTGCAAGGAGAAGTTATTTTCTTAAAAAGCGTTCTCCATTTCCTGTTGCTAGCACACGTGCCCAGACAAGCTGCCATCTTAGAGCCTGTCTGGAGGCTGCCGAGGGCCGTGTAACTGGGCAGACGCCCTCTTGGGCCATTTCTCTGACAGATGGAGAGAGCCCTGCTCTGGCTTTCTTTACAGACTATTTCGTGCCTGGTGAGCAGAAACAGATGTGTTACAAAGTGAGAACTTGCAAAGTTTAAGAGGAGCATACATGTCTAGGAAAAATCCTTCACGGGAGACTCTCTGCAGCACCTAAAGTCTTGTCATTTGCTTTTCTATCCTTCTAACCAAAGTATCATAACCCCCTCAAAACACACACACACATGCACACTTGGATTTTTACAGGAAAAGTAGTGTTTTAAGTTGGATGAACTGAAAACAAGATGGAATTGGTCGAATTTTCAGAGAAGGGAAGTTTTTAAAGCAACAAAGATGCTTCTCAGTTGCAAACAACATTTCTTATCGATTGATTTACACATTGATAATGAGATAATGGATAAAAGATGCTTGAATGATCTGGTGAGTCAGGTTTAGGCTATTTCTCTGTACAATAGACCTGAAGACTTTGGGCAGGTAATTTAATGGCCTTAAAACTCAGCTTTATCATCTCTAAAGGAAGAATTTTGAGGAAATGAACTTAAATTCCCTGCATCTATAATATTTTATGATGTCACAATTTAATGAAGCTAACCTTGTTTGGAGTACAAAGTACAATACTAAAGAACTCTTAAAAAGGAGGGTGTTGCTTTAGGAAAGTAAATGGGAGTGTGCACTGTAAAAAGTAGGGCTGAAGGGAGCCCGCACGATAGCTTAGTGGTTAATGTTCTCGCCTTGCGCGTGCTGAGATCCCATTTGAGTGCCAGTTCTAATCCCAGCAGCCCCATTTCCCATCCATCTCCCTGCCTGTGGCCTGGGAAGGCAGTCAAAGATGGCCCAAATCCTTGGGACCCTGTACCAGTGTGGGAGACCTGGAAGAACTCTTGGCTCCTGGCTTTGGATTGGCTCAGGTCCATCCGTTGTGGCTGCTAGGGGAGCAAACCATTGGAAGGAATATCTTCCTCTCTGTCTCTCCTCCTCTCTGTATATCCACCTTTCTAATTAAAAGAAAAAAAAATAATAAGTCTTTAAAAATGAAAAGTCGGGCTGCAAAGTGGATAGATCCATAATGTTTTATTGCCATTTTTTTTTAATCTGTTTGTACTCTGGCTGGGACCAAGATGTCATATATAAAATAGGAGTCATCTTCCTAAGCAAAATTCTGGGGTTTTTTGTTTGTTTGTTTGTTTTAACCTGGATAACATTTCTATTTTTGTTTTATTTTGTCTTTTAACTTTCTTATATCTAAATGCCTTAATCTTTAAAAACAAAAATTGTAATAATTCCTGCTTCACAGAGTTGCCTTGCAGTTCAAATAAGCTAATCCAAAAAGATGTATTTAGGGTTGAACCTGGTCATGAAAGGCATATAGGGTTGAGTAAATGCTCAATCGATGCTAGCATTGATTATCATTGGTTGTTGTTTAAAGGTTTACTTTATTTTTATTTGACAGAGTTATAGAGAGAAGGAAATACATATATATATATATATATATATATATATAGAGAGAGAGAGAGAGAGAGAGAGAGAGAGAGAGGTCTTTCATCCATTCTCTCACTTTCCAAGTGGCCACAGTGGCTGGAACTGAGCAGATTTCAAACCAGGAGTTGGGAGCTTCTGAGTCAACCATGTGGGTACAGGGGCCATCCTCTGCTGCTTTCCTAGGCCATAAACGAGGATATGGATCAGATGTGGAGCAGCTAAAACATGAATTGTCTTCTACATGGGATGCTGGCACAGCAGGTAGAGGTTAAACCCACTAAGCACAGCTTATTATTTTTATTCTAGATTGTGTCTGTCTCCTTTCTTTGATCCTTTCTGTGAAGTTGGGAAAAACACTGAGCAGACATGGCACTTCTTGCCCTGTCATGAAGTTATCAGCAGCTGCAGCAGCAAGGGCTGTGACTAGCAAGGTGATATGTAATTCAGAGGAGGGTGTGTAACAAGCCTAAGTAGGATCAGATCATCTTTTATATGTTTGAATTCCTTTCTGAGTCACATTTTTCAGTTTATTCAGAACTCAGGAGTGTGAGAGGGGAGTTTTGATTTTGGCTTGCTTAAAATACAGAGTATTTGTTCATGAACTTAGAATCAAGTTGAGAAAGGGAGTGTTTTAACACTAAATGACTGTCATGGAGAGAGCTACACAGGTCCAGAAAGAGAAAAAGAAGCAGAAGGAGAAGACAAAGAAATTCCTCTAAGAGACAGAATCCCTCTAAGAGACAGAAGAGAGAGGAAGAGCCCATGGCAATAGATTCCACTCTTTCTTGAATTCATGAGTCAGTGAAGTTATGTGGAGTTGTTCATCAGCTCACAGGGGAGCAGGTAAGACAAAAACAGGCACAAGGACACCTACCTCCTGCAATTCTCTTTTCCAAAAGTGTGGCGAGTGACAGATACATGTACATTCAAATGAACATCAGTGAGTGTTGGCACAGGGCCTGGGTTATGTTAGGCCAGGCCATGACACTATCCAACATGCAAGAGAACCAGGTCTGGAGGCAGATTTTGAGAGAAACATGTGGGCTCACCCTGTGGGACCGCAGTATCTGTTGGTATGCTAAAGAGCTGGGAGCGGTGATACACCAAACTAAAAAGAACTATGGAACTCTGTGACACTCATGGGTATTGAGGTTTGGGACAAGCCATGCTGGTCCAGACTGTAGCACCCACAGGGGCACCCAAGAATTAGATATGAGATCTGGGTCTGGGAGTGGGCCTGGTGGGGAGCTTGGCAAAATTCCCAGGTGGGCTGGTGAGTGCATGAGTCAGGACTGGGCGTTGGTCAGGCCAGGCAGGGCTGTTCCATTTGTTAGCAGATGTGTGGGCTGGTGCTGGTGGATGGACCTGGCAAGGCTGGGCCAAACTGGCTTGCTCAGGAGCCAGGATGGGTGTGGGCCATACGGGGCAAGGCTATAACCCCTAAGAGTTTGTGTAAAAGCAAGCTGCGAAGGGCTAGGTTGCAGTACCTGCTAGTGAGAGTGGGACTAGGGGTGGGTTGGACTAGGCCAGGCTGCAACGTCTGAATGCGAAGGCCAACCTGGGGGATGGGCTATGTCAAGCTGGTTCAGAGAAACCACTGACATGAGCAAGATCTGGGGCTGGGAGCAGGCCTGGTCAGGGAACTGAGGGATTACCCTTGTTGGGCTGAGGTTCCCACTGGTGAGCATGAAAGCCAGAATGGGAACACCAAACTGAGTGGGGCATGGCTGCTGTATTCCTCAGCATGGGTGTGGACTGGATCTGGGGTGTGCCAGACTGGGCTAGGCTCCAGCACCCTCTAGTGCTCACAACAACCAGAGTGGTATAGGACAGGATGGGCTAGGGGGTTTCACATGCTGAGCCATGTGAAAGCTGGGTCTGGGGGCTTGGCCAGGTGAGACTGGGCTGTAGTACCCAATAGTAAGAGCTTGAATGGGAATGGGTCAGATGGGCAAGGCTGCAGTACCTGCTGGTTTAGGGGGTGGACCAAGTCAGGCTGGGCCAAACACCTACCTGAATTTGGGAGACAGCTTGATAGAGGAACTTGGGGAACTCTTCTGTCAGGATGCAATCTCTACTGGTGAGCACAAGAACCAAGACTTGGAGCAGCCAAGACCAGGCCAGATTATGGTACCCACTAGCATAATATGTGGATCAGGTCTGGGGGCAAGCTGGGTCAGGCCAGTTCATAGCACTTGCTGGTGAATGCTGAGGTGAGGTGGGCCATTCCAGATTGAGCTGCAGCACCCACCAGTGCATATATGATCCCTGGGTGGGTAAGAGTCCAGTAGAGGAGCCTCAGCAGGGACTCTCCCACTATGCCACTGATCCCTCTGGTGAGCATGAGAGCTGGGACTTGGAGCAGTCCAGGCTGGGCAGAGCTACAAAGCTCATTGGCCTAAGTATGAGTTGGATTAGGAGGAAAGCCAGGCTGAACTAAGTGACCATGTCCATGGGACATGTGAGAGTTTGAGTAAGTGCAGGCTGGTCAGGCTTTGCCACAGCACTGATTATCACATGCTGGGACTGGGGGAAAATCCTGTCATGCTAGACCACAGCACTGCCTGGAAAGTGCAAGCTCTGGTTCTGGGAATGGGCTTGGTAGGAAAACTGTGGGCATCCCTCTGATTGTCTGTAGCTCCCACTGCTGACCATGAGTACCAGGGCTGGGGGGTGGGTCTGGCTGGACAGGTAGTGGCACCTACCAGCATAAGTGAGAGCTGAAAAGTGGGGTTGGTTGGGCTGAGCTATGTACCAACACCCAATGATGTGCGTGAGAACTGAATGGGTTGCAGGGCTGTCTGAACCATTCTGCTGCACATATCCCATCCTGGCTTCAGCGCCTGCCAGTGTGTTAAAATTTAGCCTCATCTTGGCTGGTCTGTCTCCACACCCTCCCCAAGCCAACCCACACACCTGCTGAGAAGTGGAGCAGCCCTGCCCCACCTGAACAACATCTGGCCTTGACTCATGTGCTCACCAGCAGGATGACAGCACAGCTGGACATTTCCCCAAGTTACCCCACCATGTCCGGTCTCACACATGTCAGCAGGTGCTAGGCCCTTACCCAGCACAGTCTGCTCCCCAGTTTTGACCTTTGTGTGTGCTGGTGGATTATGCGGCCCAGCCTGTTACACACCCAAATTTTGAGTGCATCTATGGGTGCTGCTGTAGCCTGGACCAGCTCGGCCTGTCTCAAGCTGCAGTACCTATGAGTGTCACAGAGTTTTGTGGTCATGCCTCGCTCAGCATGTACTACTCGCAGTCCTCAGGCAAACCCACTGGTGTGGCAGTCCCACAGAGATAAGATCACAAATCTCCAACAGAATTTGCTCCCACACCCAGTTTTCTGATGTGCTGGCTAGTGTCATGGTTCAGCCTAACATGGCCTACCCCCTTCCCCAACACTCACTTGTGGGTACTGTCATCCAGCCCCGTCAGGCAGGCCCTCCATTCATAGCTTTCATGGGAGTCTTTAGTCAGTGGTATATAACAACAATCTTCACTCAGCTCTCCCACATGGGCAGGTATATTATTTTGGCTCTAAAAGATCCTCTGATTTCCATCTGTCTAACTACCCAGTCTCAGACTCTTCGTTACCCTGCAAGTGCAGTAGCCAGGTTGATGGAAGTTCCCCGGAAATCACTCCTTAGCTGTCATACTTGCCCTCAGCAGTCCTTCCCACACATATTCAAACCCACTTCTCTGAGAAATCTGTAGGCTTCCATGCCCATGAGCAGGCAGCTCCTTAAGCCCAGCCCCCGGGCAGTGTGGCATGCCAGCCTGGGGTCCTGCCGGCCTGCCCAGGGCCCACACACTGTTGCTTGTGGGTTCCCAGATCCTGTCTGCTGGCCTGCTGAAGTGTTCCCCCCATATATCTTTAAAAAATAAAATTAAAAAATAAAATGAAAAACTTAGGATAAGCAACCATGCTGGCATAGTGGTTTAGTCAACACAAATTTAACACTACCCAGCCCAGGATGACCGTCAGCAATTGGGTGCTTTTCTCCCAGCAGTATAACACCTGCCTGATATAACACATTGAAGCAGTTGCCTATAGTTTGTGGGAACCTTTTTGTTTTCTCGATGCTAAATTTGGGGAACTATAGTTTCTAACATTGATTATGGTCAATTACAAATATTTTCTTTTATGAATACTATTTTCTTTGATCTTTTCAAGAAATCATTGCTGACTTCAAATTTATATAAATCCTATATTTTACTCTACTAGCATGTAGTTTCAGTTTTTTCTAAATCTATGATCCATGTAGAAATAACAGCTCTGCATGGTGTGAAGTGACATTCCCCCATAAATTATCCAGTTGTTTCAGCACCATTTATTCTAAGACTATCCTTTCTTATTTGAACTACCTTGGCACCTGTGTCAAAAATAAATGGGCCATATGTGGATCATTTGGATTCTATTCTGTTCCATCAATCTATTCCCACTTATCTTCAAAACCAATGCATCCTAAACTGGGTGATTTGTAAATAAGAGAAATTTATTTCTCACTGTTCTGAAAGTGGGAAGTCAAGAAGGAAGCTCCAGTGTGCATGGTGAGCTCACTTCCTTGCTCGGAGGATGGCACCGTCTCATGGCATCTTCACATGCTCTCCTGGATAAAGGCAATGACCCTACTTATGGGGAAATCTACTCTTGCAACCTAATAATCTCCAACCAGTGTATATTGTATCTACTTCCTGCTTAGTGTCCTAAACAATTACAGTGGTGAACAGGTCTTAACATTTGATTTTTGGGAACACACAAACCCTGAGACCACAGTGCTGTCAGTTTTTCTAATTGCATACTATGCTACAGTGACTGTAATAGTTCCACTGCGCACTTTGTGGTGGCTGAGTGAGCCCTTTGGCTTTGGTCTTCTCTAGAATACGCATGACAAGTCTAGGTTCTTCAAATCTTCATGCACAATATAAAGTTGAATGGTTAACTTTTTAAAAAGACTTATTTATTTTTATTGGGCAGTCAGAGATAGCGAGAGAAGAGACAGAGAGGTAGATCTTACATCTACTGATTCATTCCCCAAGTGGCTCCATTGGCCAGAGCTAACCCAATCTGAAGCCAGGAGTCAGGAGCCTCTTACAGGTCTCCCATATGGGTACAGATTTCCAGGCCACAAGAAGGGATCGGGAGGGGAAGTGAGACCACTGGGACATGAACCAGTGTCCATATGGGATCCCGGTGCATGCAAGGCGAGGACTTTAACTGCTGCCCTTCTGCACCTGGCCCAGCAAATGCTTTTTAAAGCTTGAATGATTTACAATAGTTATAAACACTTGAAGCAAGGCTCAGGTGAGCTACTAAAAATAAACAGATGATTTCTGAGAAGTCCCTATGATTTTTTTTTTAAATTCATATAATTTATTTCTTTTTAGGTTAAAAAGCCTTAAGTATATGAGCATAAATCATAACCAGCTAGCCAGCCTTCCTGAGGAACTTTGTTTGCTTGAGAACCTTTCTGAACTTCAACTTAACTACAACAAGCTCGTTTGCATACCCGAGGAGATTAAATTATTGAAGAAGCTCCACAAACTTCTTTTGGTGAGGAACAACATTGAAGCTTTCCCACCGGTAAGCATAAACATGTGTTGTTTTAGAGGAATTCGTTGTAATGTGAGAGGACATATCTGAATGTGAAATATCATTTTGATTTCTCTCAAATTAGATGTAGTTGGTTTCCACGTTCTACAGCAGAAGGAGATTCTAATTTGGTTACTCTACACAAGCCCATATATAGTAAATGAAATGACAAGATACTCATTTAAATGTGAATTTCAAGTAAGCAACACAAAATTTATTTTTTAGAATCAGTATGCTATAATTAATGCTTGGTCCATACACAAAAATATTCCTTTTCTCAGATTTATGTGAGCATCATGTGTTTTATCTGGTATTTTTTTATACTATAATACGGATTCATTTTGGTTGTGGAATATGTGCTGGATGATTTCCGCTTTCAGCTATGTCCGCTCTGCTTTTCTCCAACGTGTTCTGCCCGGGAGACTCATGAGGGTAGCATCAGTGAGCTGTTGGACACAGCCAATGAGAGGCACAAGTAGAAGATGAAAGTATGCAAGGAGAGTGAGTCCCTGGCAGGGCTCTTGTGGTGTCCTTTCTGGCAGGGGGCTGTAGACTGGCTGAATGCATGGCTCTCTGAAACGCTGCCATGACTTCAGGTATTCCTGTTGGAAAATCACTGCTTTCTTTTAGCTCTTGAGGAATAGGGAGGTAAAAATTCTCTCATGTTGCTAGCTTTTATGACCTTTGTGGAATTAGGCAATCACTCACTCTTCTTGGTTGAGAGAACCTTATGTTTAAACCTGGCTAAATGAGTCGTATACTACACTTTGATGCAAAGCATGCTCGTGATTAAATTTCTAGCATCAAGCACTTAGTGTGATTACATCTATTACTGTTCTGTTTTGGTCTGTGGTACCTTTGGTACAGGTAGCTGGAACTGATTGTATTGGTGCTGTAACCCCTCTTGCAGATTCAAGAATATATTTGAGTACTAAAAGTAAAGATGTTTAACTCTGTTAGAATTTCCTGAATTTAACTTAGAACTATCTTTCATTTCATATGTAGTAATATTCTTTGGATTATGCTTTAGAAATGTTGCAACAATTGAAAGTGTTGAACATTTCAAAATACAAGTTATATATTGTCATGTATCATAGTGAATACTAACCTTTAATTCAGTGCCTAGAATGTAGTTGACATTAAATATATTATATATAATAATATATTTACATGATATATAATCATATGTATATTAAAACAAGCACCTTTTAGCACAGCATAACAGATATCTGTTTTTTTTTTAATCCGCTTTAGTGTTTATTGCTGCTGCTTTCTGTAATGGCATTATGGTTTGGCTCTGTAAAATCCATCCTTCGCTAACTAGACAGTGAAGTTTTCTTAGTGCTGATGGGTTTAACTGTCACCCATGCAGAAATTGAAGTACAAAGATACAGTAGTTGTCAGAGAGGAGATTTGAAGCTAGAAGTAGTCTAATTCATAGATACTTTGTTATGTTGCCCTGGAGTGGTGAGGGGGAATGGAGATTTCCAAGGTATCTAGTTATTGATGTAATTAAGATTTTCCATGGGGCTATGGAACTGTATCATGAAAAATAAAAATTTAAGTCAGACCAAACCAAAGAATCAGCAAAATATGCTGAAGGATTGTTCAGGTAGGAAAGGTGGTCAGTTTCACCAATTCTGAACTCGTATGCACTAAGGATTTTAGATACTAGATTTTTAAGCAACATCTCTTTTGTTTTCTGACACAGGGACTTTGTCATCTCACAAAACTAAGAATCCTAGATGTAGCTGGAAATAATATTCAGGTATTTCCACCAAAAGTAAGTAGAATCAACTTTTATTATCATAGAAAAATGTATGCTTTTGGGGGTAGAAAAATACAAATAGCCAGTGAAACCTGTAGTAAGTGGAACCTTGAGCTATGTAAATGACTCAAAACCTTGCTTTGTTCTAGAATCTCAAGGCTATGCTCTCCCATTTCTTTCTTCACATTTTCTACCTGATGAACTGGTTTGACATACCTGAGCTCTGATTGCTGTCATAAATACTTGGTTATATCAGTGATGATTAACCTTTTCGGTAGCTATACACCTGGAGTTCATCAATTCAGATTTTTTAATATTTTTTAATATTTTCTAGACCACACAATTTTATCTTTTATAATTAATTTAATGGTGACATATTTGTCGTTTTTAAGACAGACAACAAAAATGTATATTTTTCCCATTTGGAAATGAATTTTGGCCTTCTTTATTTCAAATAACTGGGAGATCGTTGCTAGGTTAGAACTTTGGAGAAAGAAAGAATGTTAAACATTCAGTGTTATGGTAGAAGTCCATTAACAGAGAAAGCACTCAATCAATGGTTGTCTATTCATTAATTATTATTTTGAACTGGTATGCACCAGGCTGAGGTTTTAATCCTTTTATACTAAAAGTGATTCAAATGTGAAAAAATGAGCGTAAGTGTCAAATTCATGTTTAAAGAATATATACAGTGTTTTTATTGTGGTAAAATAATCATAAGACAAAGTTTTCCTTCTGATATTGTTGCTTCCACAATGCTATTACAACAGAGACCACAGAATAGAATAATTCAAATATGCCTTGCTGTGCCACTACGTTTTTCTTAAGAGAAGAAATAATTTTTTTTCTACCTCTACACCATGGTATCTTGAACATCGTCGAATCACGAAATGTTTATCACATGAGTAAACCTAGATGAACCTGGTGACCTAGATGGCTTTGGAAGTTTAGAGTAATTTGGACAGTATCTGAATTGTTTTACCTTTGTGGCATCAGTGTCATCAATTTATATAAACATTCCGAAGTAAGGTAATGTGAATTCAACCAAGCTTTTGTCTCATTAGTTAAAAACTAGAGCTCTGCATATTTCAAAATGGGGCAACTGATGGGACATAGGAAGTGAGTGACACTAGACAATGTGGTCTTTATCGGCAAAGGAGTAAGTTTCAATGTGAGGAAAACAGTGAATTATGATTTTTAGGACGTAGAACAGTATATTAACAAAGAATATGGCTTTGTCGTTTTAAACCTTGTGATTTAAAGGTCTAATTTCCCATTTACTAAATTTGCGATTTCAGATTGCTTAAACTTTCAGAGTTGCTGCTTCTTAATTAGTAAACGGGAACACTGAATCTACTAACCTCAGGATGGTATCAGGCCACATTCTGCACTGGAGTGCCTGGTTCCAGTCCCACTACTCTTCTTCCAGCCCAGCTTTCTGCTAAGGTGTACCATGGAAAGCAGCAGATGTTGCGGTTTTTATTGGGATCACATTGAATGTTTATATTACATTTGGTAATATGGATATTTTGAGTATGTTGATGCTGCTGATCCTGGAACATGGTCAATTTCTGCATCTTTTAGTGTTTTCCTCTATTCCTTTTTTCAGTATTTTGTGACATTCCTTGTTGATGTCTTCCATGTTTTTGGTTAGGTTTATTTCAAGATTTTTAAGATTTTTCTGCACTATTTTAAAAAGAACTTTTATTACAAGTTATTTCTCAGTTATGGAGTTATTTGTGTATACTAGCATTATTAATTTATTTTCATTAATTTTGTATCATGGCACCTTATCAAACTCATGAATTCCAGTAGTCTCTGGATTAAGTGTTTTGGTTCTCGTATGGAGACAATCATGCCATCTGCAAATAAGAATATTTTTAATTTCTTGTTTCTGATTTGAATTCCTTTAATTTCTTTTTCTTGCCTAGTAGCTCTGGTAAGGGCCCCTTATAATACTATACTGAGTAGCAGTGATGAAAATGGACATCCCAGACTAATTCCAGATCTTAGTGGAAAAGCTTCCAGTCTTTTCCCAACCATATGATGTTTTCTTTCTTTCTTTCTTTTTTATACTGATCTGGTTGTGATGTAGAATGTTCCATCTATGCCTGCCTTGTTTAGTATTCTTAACAGGAAGTGGATATTATCAAGTGCCTTCTCTGCATCATATCCATCTGTAGTACTCTGTGTACTCTGTCTCTGTCATGCCTATCTGCATTTGGTATTAAGATGATGTTGGCTTCATAGAAAGTGTTTGCAAGGACTGCCTTGCTTTCCATTATGTGAAATAACTTATGGAAGATTGTTGTAAGCTTTGCTTGAAACATTTTGTAAAATTCAAGAGTAAGCCCTCCAGGACCAGGATTTTTCTTTGTTAGGAGAGACTTAATTACCAATTAAACCTCTTTCCTGGTTTTAGGGGTAAATTATAATTGCTTCTTGATTCAATTTTGTTTGATTGCAAGAGCCAAAAATTTATCCATTTCTTCTAGGTCTTATGATTTGTTGGAGTATAGTTGTTCACAACAGTTTCTGATTGTTCTACTTACGTCTGAGATATTTATCATTTATTTTCACGTAGCATTGCTAGGGGTCAGTGCCATGAATCCAACTTGTTGCCACACCTGACTGCTTGGGCTCTTCCACGCTGCAGGACCCACTTTTTCTATGGTTGGGTTCCTCGTGAACTCCTCTTTCCGCCTGGCTGCTGGTGGAGCTCTGATAGCCACTGGGGCATCAGTTTACTGCAGCTCCTTCCCTGTGTCTGTGGGTCTCCAGTTGTCTTTGCTGTTGGCCCGTTCTCTCCTATTTCCCAGGATTGTGTCCTCCCTCTCTGCTTCACCCTGGCCAATACTTCTCTGTTAAAACCTGTCCTTGTTCTATTCCACCATTTTGAAACATCCTCCAAGTTTTCAAAAGGTATTAAAAATAGAAAAATCACCGGTTGATTTTGTTTGATAGGATTTTACAGGGTATTGTGCTGAGGCACAGCAAGCTAAGCCACCGCCTCAACAAACATTTGCATCCCATGTCTGAATGTGTGCTGATGTCTTGGATAAGCCTCTTTTGGTCCAGCTCGCTGTTAATGTGCTTGGGAAAGCAGCAGAGCCTTGCCTATGTGTTCAGATCCCTGCCATCCATGTGGGAAACTTGGATGGAATTCCTGGCTTCAGACCGTCCCAGCCCTAATCACTGAAGCTAGGTCAGCAATGAATCCATACATGGAAGATCTATTTCTGTCTCTCCCTTTCTCTATGTCATCCTCTCTTTCAGAGAAATAATCTTCAACGAAGTCAATGTATCATGTCAGTACATTTTCAGCTTCTCGGGTAAATTATTTGAATATTCAATTTTTGCCTAAGTTGTTTCAGATGATTCATTTCAATGCATCTTCTTCAAGGATGAAGAGGTATTGTTAAGGTATTTTTAAGAACATTGCTTTCTTTCTATCCATTTAGGTGTCTTCTCATTATATATCCATTTTAAGTATCATTGTATTATTATAGAGAAACTCATTTGCCAAATAAATTAAAAAGTAAGTACAGAACTTGAAGAGTGCCTTTAAGCTTACTTCCCAGAGGTAAAACTTTTTATTATTTTCTTCAGACTGTCCTTTTTTTTATTTACTCACTTAAAATAAGAAAATTGAAAGTGCAGTTATAGAAGTATGCAGGCTTCTTTTCCACTTAACATATATTGAGTACTTTTCAGTTTGTGACTTTTAATGACTAGGTATTATCATAGCTTCATTAACTCTCTTAATTTATTACCAAATTAGACTTGGATTTCGAATGAACAGATCTTTGAGGAAAAGTTGAAGTAAAGAATATTTTCATTTGCATTTTTCTTTGGGAGAATAACATTTTGGAAATACAGTTGAAAGTAGGCAATGGACAATTCTTAGTTGTCTTAGCTAGTTTTCTGGGAAGCAGTGATGTTGGATATATTATCTCCCTAGCACTACTGTCCCAAAGTACCACAAATAGGGGCTACAAAAAGGTCTTTCTGCTTTCTGTTTTGGAAGGATACCAGTTCTTGCGGCCATTTTAGCCCATATGGTTCCTCAGGGTTTTTTTTTTTTTAATTTTTTTTTTATTATGTTGCATTATATGACAGTTTCATAGGCTCTGCGATTTCCCCCAACCTCTCCCTATGCTCTCCCCCATGGTGGATTCCTCCACCTTGTTGTGGTATTACAGTTCAAATTAAGTCAAGATGCTTTCATTGCAAACATATACCAAGCATAGAGTCCAGCATCTTATTGTCCAGATAAATTTTTCTTGGGGAGACCATCTCTGGTCTAAAGGTAGAGCTGGCAGAATATCATCCTGATCAATTAGAAGCCCCAGCACAATATCCACAACAATTTACAACACTATGGAATTAATTGACATGGTATTGAGTAATCAATGTGTTAAAACAATGCAAGTTCTTAACCACATCCTGTGACTACTTCATTGACACTTCAATTTTTGTTTGTACACAGAACCGGCTTCTATACACCTTAAAGTGGCTATAGGGTACTATTCAGCTGTCTTGTGTCTTTCATTTTAGTATTTAGCAGTTTATAATGTTGAAGCATAATTTTGCTGAACTTGGCAGATTTTAGGATAGTCTAAACTGGCTTATAACTCTAACAAGGCATTTATTAACAGTTGAGGTGCTAGAACAGTTTTAGGAGGTGTGTGCAGAGAAATCTTCAATATTCTAGTGAGGAGTAACTTATCTTTGTGTGCTACCTAGTAAGGTATATGTGGTTCCACGCTGACTGTTTCCTGCCTGGTTCTATGCTTTCACTGTATTTCTCTATCTATTCTATTTTTTTTTGGGGGGGGGGGCTCTGAAGCGACCCTGATTAGCATTGCAAGAGAGGGTCAGGATCCAAAGTTGGAACTAAGTAAGGACCAGAAAAAGCTCCTCTCCCTAGCCCTGAAGGAAGTTTATTGTTCTTCTGTTTCTGCAGACCACTCAGGGATCCTGGCTGTTGTTCTGATGACCTTGGATTCTGCAAG